CAACATAATCTTATATGTTAAAAAAAAAAAAAAAATGAGGAAAGGAATCCACTAAAAATTTACTTGAATAAATGAGTTCAGCAATGTTGCAGAATACATGCTCAATATACAGAAATCAATTGTATTTTTATACATTTGCAATACACAATCAAAAAATAAAATGAAAAAATATTTGATTCATAATTGTATCAAAAAGAATAAAACATTTAGTGGCCAGGTGCAGTGGCTCACATCTGTGATCCCAGTACCTTGGGAGGCCAAGATGGGCAGATCACCCAAGGTCAGCAGTTCAAGACCAACCTGGTCCAACATTGTAAAACCCTGTTTCTACTAAAAAGAAATATTAGCCGGGCAAGGTGGTGGGCACCTGTAATCCCATCTACTTGGGAAGCTGAGGCAGGAGAATCACTTGAACCCAGGAGGTGGAGGTTGCAGTGAGCCAAGATCATGCCACTGCACTACAGCCTGGGCAACAAGAGTGAGACTCCACCTCAGAAAAACAAAACAAAACAAAACAAAACAAAAAAGAATAAAACACTTAGGAATAAATGTAACAAAAGAAGTGAAAAACATACCCTGAAAACTATAAAATAATGTTGAAAGAAATTAAAGCAGATCCAAATAAGTGGAAAAACATCCCATGTTCATGGATTAGAAGACTTAACATTGTTAACATGGCACCATTACCCAAACTGGTTTATAGATTCAGTGCAATCCCTATCAGAATCCCATCTGACTAGAAATTGACAAACTGTATCTAGAGTTCATATATTCTGCCTACAATGGGTTGTGAGAAAAAAGAAAATTCATATAAAATGCAAGGCTCCCAAAATAGTGAAATAACTCTGAAAAAGTAAACAAAGTAGGAAGACTCATACTTTCCAATTTCAAAACTGACTGCAAAGCAACAATAATTGAAACAGTATAGTACTGGCATAAAGACAGACATGTAGACCAATGGAACTAACCTGGGAGTCTGAAAGTAACCCATTTATCTATGGTCAACTGATTTTCGACAAGGGCGACAAGACCATTCACTGGGAAAAGCATAGTCTTTTCAACAAAGGAGGCTAGGAGAACCTTCCATTATACACAAACATTAACTTAAAATGGCTCAAAGACCTAAGTGTAACAGCTAAACCTATAAAACTCTGACAATTCCATAACAAAAAGACAACCCAATTTTTAAAATGGGTAAAGGGACAGGTGTGGTGGCTCATGCCTGTAATTCTAGCACTTTGGGAGGCCAAGGTAGGCAGATTGCTTGAGCCTATGAGTTCAAGACCAGCCTTTTTTTTTTCCCCTCCACCACTGCCACCCAAGACCCTGTCTCTGGACCCTGTCTTTAGACCCTGTCTCTAACAAATAATTAAATAAAGTAATTAAATAATATAATAAAATAATTACAAATAATTAAAAATTTAGTTGGGCATGGCGGCATGCATCTGTAGTCCCAGCTACTTGGATGAGTTGAGCCTGAGAGGTCGAGGTTGCAGTGAGCCATGATCATGTCACTGCACTACATCCTAGGTGACAAGGCCAGACCCCATCTCAAAATAATAAATAAAATTAAATAAAAAATGAGTAAATGATCTGAATAGACATTTCTACAAAGAAGATACACAACTGACCAGTAAGCACATGAAAAGATGCTCAACTTCATTAGTCATCAGGGAAAGGGAAATCAAAATCACTTCTCACCCGCTAGGCTGGCTAGATTCCAAAACAAATGAATGAATAGTAAGTGTTGATGAGGATGTGGAGAAACTGGAACTCTCGCACACTGCTGGTGGTAATGTAAACCAGTACAGCTCCTTTGGAAAACAGCCTGGCAGTTCCTCAATTAAACATTGAGTTATCAATAACCTAGCAATTCCACTCTTAGGTATGTACCCAAGAGAAATGAAAACATATGAAAGAGAAATTAAAACACATGTCAATCAGGCACCATGGCTCACACCTGTAATCCCAGGACTTTGGGAGGCCAAGGCAGGCGGATCATGAGGTCAAGAGATCAAGACCATCCTGGCCAACATGCTGAAACCCCGTCTCTACTAAAAATACAAAAATTAGCTGGGTGTGGTGGCATTTGCCTGTAGTCCCAGCTACTTAGGAGGCTGAGGCAGGAAACCGGGAGGCGGAAATTGCAGTGAGCTGAGATCACGCCATTGCACTCCAGCCTGGGCAACAAGAGCAAAACTCTGTTTCAAAAAACAACAACCAAAAAAACCCATATGTCTACACAAAATCCTGCATATGAATAATTATAGTGGCATTATTCATAATCATCAAATAATGCAGATAACCCAAATGTCTATCAATGGGTTAATAAATAAACAAGGTCTGATATGTTAATACAATAGCCCCAAAAAGGAATGAAGTAGTTACATGCTACAACTTGGATGAACATTGAATATATTATACTAAGTGAAAGAAGCCAGACACAAAAAGCAGCATGTTATAAAATTCCATTCAGATGAGAGCTCAGAATAGGGAAGTCTACGGAAACAGAAAGTAGATGAGTGGTCGCTTGGGACTGGGAGAGGGATGAGGAATTTGGCGAAGAGTTAGCTAAAGGGTAGGGGGTTTCTTCCTGAGGTGACAAAAATGTTCTAAAATTCACTGTGGTGATGTACACATCTGTGAATAAATATACTAAAAGTCATGAAGCTATGTTCCTTAAATGGGTGATTTACACGGTGTGGTATATGAGATTATATCTCAATAAAGCTGGTTTTCTGTTTTTGTTTCAAGTGTTTCCATTGACTGTTAAGGCAACACGGGGCACGTGTTGTGAGAGAAGCTCCTGCTGGAAGGGTCAGGTTCCCAGGCTACCCACAAAGGACTCTGCCCCCAACACAGAAAAGCCAACATTGGTGCAAACAGCTGCCGTGAACCACAGCCTAAATCTTTGTCTTTACGGGAAAATATATGAGGTCAGAAGTCAAGAAACTGGGAACATCTTGACCTTACCTTTCCCCACAAAGGTGGCCACAGGAGCCCAACCACCCTGGCAGTCTGGGTGAGACACGGGCTGCAACAACCCACCTGCCCCTGCCCAGCCCCTGGTAAGTGGCTCAGCCACCCAGAGGCCTGAACCAGGATCTTCAAGGATAGCCCTGCCCTCATTAGTGGTGGCTCTTACTATCTGTCCCCATCCCACCCACCATGTGCCAGGCCCCAACTGACCTCTCAAAGGCCACATTCCGAGTGTCCAGGTGGGTGGAGACGATAGGAGAAGTGAGGCGACTGGCCACGTGCTCCTCGCTGGGCCTCATGGCCGCCAGCAGCGCTTCAGGCTCCTGCAAAGTGATCCCCAGCGTCTCTGCGTGCACCACCTGCCGGTCATGGTCCACTTCCATCACCAGGGCTCCAGCCTCTGCCAGCAGTGGCGGGGTGTACAGAGGGGGTGCAAATCAGTGTCGGGTGCCAGCAGCACAGAGAGGGCTATCATGTACCCTCAGCCGCCTGCTGCCAGGTGGGTCAGCCTTGGCCCCTGGATCCCCTCCACCTCCAGCCTCAGCTTCTACATCTGGAAAGTGGAACAAAGGATAGCACCATCCTCCCAAGCATCGGCAGAAGCTGAGGGCCGAGGCACTGCAGTGAGTGCCTCCTGAGCTCACCCTGGCCCTTGAAGATGAAGCTCCTACGGCCCCGCTGCCAGGTCATGTGCTCGAAACCCAGGAGACTGGTGTCCACTCGCAGGCTCTCACCCCGCTTCCACACGCGGTACACATCGCTCGGACACATCTTGGACACAAGGGGCACTGCAGGGTGCATGGGGGTCACCAGGGATCTCCCAAAGGCCCCGCCCCAATCCCTGGGAGCCCAGAGGTCCCCACTCACCCCAGCTGGTGAACTCCCACTTCATCTCCACATAGAAATCAGGGGCCTAAGAGAGACCAGAGCTGCTTGTCAGGGCCCTGCCTGGTACTGGGTCCAGCAGGCCCAGGAGTCTCTTGTCCACAGCTAGCCCAGCCCTTCATCAAGTTTTTTTTTTTTTTTTAAGACAGAGTTTTCTCTCTTGTTGCCCAGGCTGGACTACAGTGGCTCAATCTCGGCTCACTGCAACCTCGGCATCCCAGGTTCAAGTGATTCTCCTGCCTCAGCCTCCCAAGTAGCTGGGATTATAGGTGCACGCCATCACGCCCGGCTAATTTTGCATTTTTAGTAGAGACAGGGTTTCTCCATGTTGGTCAGGCTGGTCTCAAACTCCCGACCTCAGGTGATCCGCCACACCTCGGTCTCCGAAAGTGCTGGGATTACAGGTGTGAGCCACCCCGCCCATTCTTTTTTTTGAGACTTGCTCTGTCACCCAGGCTGGAGTGCAGTGGGGCAATCACGGCTCACTGCAACCGCTGCCTCCCAAGTAGCTGGGACCACAGGTGTGTCACCACTCCCAGGTAATTTTTGTACTTTTTGTAGAGACGGGGGTTTCACCATGTTGCCCAGGCTGATCTCGAACTCATGGGCTCAAGTGATCCACCCACTTCGGCCTCCCAAAGTGCTGGGAGCCACAACACCTTGCCCTTCATCAAGTCTTGATGCATTGCTATGGTCCAGCTACACCCAACGTCTCTGCCCAGGAGAGGCCTGACAATGGTCCTCGGGCAATGAGGCTGTAAGCACCTGGAGGAGGAGGGCCAACCTCAACCTGACCATGAGCCTGTGCAGGGCCGTAGGAGAGCTTTTGCTTCCACTGGGTCTCAGTGTCCTCCTCTGTAAAGGGAGCAGAGCGGCCCCTTCCAAACCTTCCCCTGGAGTAGGGGGCATGAGGTAGTATACTCTGCAAGCCAGGCCCCTCTGTGTGCTTCCAGAAGGGTGCATGGTAGCAGGTATTCCATAGGCTCAGGCCATAATCTACCGAGTCAACCTGAAGACCCTGCTCCAGGTAATCTGCATTCTTCAGGAGGCCCATAGCTGGCAACACTTCTCTTCCAAAAGACCCAGTATCTCCCACGTGAGCCTGGGTGTCTCTTTCTATGTGACCCTGGGATGGGGTCAAGATAGACAGATCTCCTCGCTGTTGGTGGGAAGCACACTAGACAAACTGTGTGCCCTTCCAAGGCCAGGCCTGGCACGGTAACCAGGGTGGTGCCCTGCCGTGGTACCCCACCTCCATACCTGTGCCCTGCTGTACCTGGCGAAGTTTGTTGAGCAGTTCTGGAATGCCCGCCAGCCTCTGCGTGGCCCTCTGGTAGTCCCGATACTGGAGCACCAGCTGCACCATCTCGGGGTCTCCAGTGCTGACTGCCTCCTGCAGGACTGCGGGCACCAGGCTGCTGAGGGGAGCCCTCCGGATGACCCTGGGCCTGGTTGCTCACTGCCCCCCACCTGCCAGTCTCGGGGGAGCTCCTTGCCCTCGGCAGTACCTGCCCAGCCCTGGCGGTTCTCTTTGCCCACGTTAGCATTGTGCCGAAGGAGCACTCGCACGGACTCCAGGTTTCCCAGAGACACGGCCAGCTCCAGGGGGGTCCGCCCGCGGGGATCCTCCTGTTCAATGTCGTGCTGGGGGAGATGGGACACTCACAAAGGGCAGGAGAGAAGAGGGCAAGGCAGGGAGGCTGCCAGGGCAAGCAGGGTTGGGAATCGCTGTGGGAAACAAGGACGGTGGACTGGCCAGGGAGATGGCAGAGGGTGGCCTGCACGTCCTGGCAGGGGGAGAGGAGAGGGCAGGAGGGACGGCAGAGGCAGAGCCCGGGGCCTGGCAGTGGGGCCTGGTCGGCCAGAGGTGCAGGATGTCAGGAGTTTGGTGGAGCCTGGGGACCAGGACCAGAGTTCTTGTCCTCAGCCTGGCTCAGTGGGGATGCAGAAGCGAGTTCGGGCGAGCAGGGTGAGGCCCAGCGCGGTGGAGACGAGGCCAGAGGCTCCGGGTTAGGGACCGGTGACCTGGGCTTGGGATCGTGCAAGGGAGGGAGGCCCAGGATGTGGCTGTGGAGCTGAGCAGGGGCGGGCGGCCTACAGGACGGAGACCACAGCCTTGGGTGGGGAACCTGGGGAACGGGCCGGGTGCCCTGACGGGGCCTCACCTGGCGGCTGTGCAGTGCGGCCTCTAGTTCGCGGTGCCGGTTCGCCCAGACGAGGCGGTGCAGCGGGAAGGTGGGGCCTGGGCCGGCCATGCTGGGCTTCAGCGCCGCATCCTGGCCCCGCCTCGGCTTCGGGCCTGGCGCGGCCCCCTCGCCTCCCCTCCGCGCCCCAGCTGCGACCCCCGCGGCCCCCGCAGCAGTAGCGGCGGCGGCGGCGGTGGTGGCAGCGCGGGCGGCGGGGCGGGCCAGGCGAGCGGCGGGGCGGGGCGGGGCGGGGCTTCGCGCGCGCCCCCGCCCCCCCCGCAACCATGGCAACCGCGCGCGCCCGAGGAGATGCCCGGCCCTGGGCCGGCCCCCGGCCTCGGTCGGGCCCGGGTCCGCTGAGGCGGCCTGGAGGGCGGGGCCCGGTTACAGCTCTGCCCGCGGCCTGCAGGAGGCGCCCTGAGCCCTGCTCAGACCCCCAGTGGCGTGTCCGGAGGGAGAAGGCGGGTCCCGGGAGGGGCGGGAACTGGGCCCCGGGTGGTGCGCGCGCGTGCGCCGCGAGCCGCGGTCCTGCTGCCGCCGAGCTACCTGCGTTTTCCCGGTCTTCCTACCCCAGGTCCCGCGGGCACCGACTCTGCTGGAGGGTGCGGGTGAAGTGGGGGGACCCGACTCCCCTCGTATCACTGAGCACCCGGCCTGGAGACCAGCCACTAGCCGACGCCACTAAGTGCTCGTCGGCTGAGCGGGAAGCACCTTTCCCTGGCACCTGGCCGGTGTCTGCAAGCCCAGCGATGCGGGGGGCGGCCCCCGGAGCCCTTAAGTCAGGGATAGGAGTTCGGGGAGAGGGGTCACAGGTCCGGGCAGCGGCAGAGCCGTCTCGGCGGAGGACCGCCCGCGGTGAACGGCTGCCTTCGCCGGCCTCACGCCGAGTCCCTTTTGCAGAGGCTGCTCTTGGCTGCCAGCATCGGGAGAGGAAGGCGTGTTTCGAAATCGGGGCCGGCCCTTCCACCCGCACCGGAACTAGGGTGCAGGCCTCCGTCAGCTCGGTTCCGGCCTTGGTTACTGGAGGCCCAGCCTGGGGTCTCAGGCTCTGGTTTTGTTGGGTGGCTAAGGCTGACCCTCTGCTCTGCGTTTCCCTGCGTGGAACATGGCTGGATAGCTTGATCGAGGAGGGCCAGCTAGCTTGAGGGCCACCTCCTGCTGTAGGGCGTCCTCATTCCTGAGACTCTGGGCTGGAAGACCCGATTGCCACTTTTACCCCTCCTTCTTGTAGTCACGTGGTGGCTTTGCCATCTGGGATCACTTTGTCACCCCATGCTATGGTGTCATCCCTGAGGTCCTGGGGTTGATAGCAGCCTGAAGGCTTCTGAATGCCCAGAGCTGTCAGATCAACTCACCTGCTCACCAGGGCCACAGGCCTCCCTGGCCACCACCTTTCTCAAAGAGGCCGTCCCTTCCCTGAGCCCTCTCCAAACCCAATCTGACAGGACTTTCTTGCTCCTGGCCTCTCCTGATTTCTGCCATCTTGAACACAGCTTCCCACTGGCCCTTAATTCTATGACAGTGACTTCTCAACCCTCTTCCACAGCCTCCTCTCTCCCTGACCCCCATGTCTCTGGCAGAGAGCCTGTCCGTTCCCATTGTCACCCTGATGCCACCTCCAGGTCTGCATTTCAGCTTACTCCAGGAAATGTCTGTGCCATGCTATCCCATCACCGTGTCTGAAGCCAACCCAATCACACCTACCCCTTTCCCCCAACTCCCGCCTCGCTCAGCCCCAAGTTCAGCCTGTTCCTGTTGGACCATGTTCTTCCCGTCTGACCTCTTTTCATCTCTTCCTCTCCCACCGCAGCAGTCTGTCTCCCTGCCTCCTGTTCTTTGCCTCCCTCCCCACATCCTGCACTCAGTAACCAGGCAATCACTTTAGAGCGAGCTCTCACCACCCTCAACCCTGTTCGGTGCCTTCAAGGGCTCCCCAAACAGGCAGGTCTGGACTCCATGTTGTTTGTACCTTCATTCTGCAGTCCGCGAGCACACATCTGGCTCCGGGCTAGGTTAAGCCTGGCATTCAGTGCTCCTTCCCATGGTCCTCTGGCCAGCCCAAGCCACTCATGAGTGCCTGGCCCTTCCCTGCCTCAGAAATGTCCTCCCTCCTTCCCACCCCAATGCTGGAGGCTCAGCTCAAAGGCCATTGCCCCTGACTCTTTGGTAACCAACCCAGAGTACCCTGCCCAGCTGCCTGCTTCCCTTCTCTGCCTGGCATGCTGTGCTTTGGCCATGGGCCCCAGTCATGCCCAGCAGTGCCCTGTGTGGAGTGGGCAGCAACACATATCCATCTGTTCAGTCACCCCAGGGGCCGCAAGGCAGGGATGTGGGGAAAGGGAAGTTGACCAGTAGCCTCTTGGTAGAGAAGAGGCCTGGTGCTGGGGTTCCCCTCAGGCCTCAGAGACCCCTACTAGGGCTGCACAGCGAGGCCAGAGAGGCCAAAGCCAGAGCTGGCCAAGGGCCCAGAGGCTGCATGTGACCTGGAGGGCAGAGGTGCCTTGTCTCTGGGGAGGGGCCTCAGCTTGGTGCCTGCCGTGCAGGGGTGCTCTATGAGCCTGAGACGGTCCCAGTCAGCCCAGACACTGCCCCAGGCATAACAGTGCTGGCACCTCCTCCTGCTTACCTGGGAAGTGGCAGAAGCTGCCCTCTCTTCCCTGGAAAAGGTAAGGGATGGGTGCTGGACAGTCACTAAGCGGGAAGACTAACAGCTGGGAGGGACGGAGGCAGGGTGGGATCCACTGCCTCACCCCACCTGGAAGACGGCCTGGGCCTGAGCAGGCTGCTCTGGAAGCCATGGCAGTGGAGGGGACCTGGTACCGAGACCCTCCCCCTCAGGCCCCAGCCCAGAAGCTGAAAAGCGGTCACTAGGTACAAAAAGAGACAGCCAAGTCAGGCACCATTTTTTATAAAAACGCATAGTCTCATTTTTCACTCTTTAAAATCACATTCAAAAATCGGCAAAGAAACGCCCCGGGGAATGAGTAGACGGGAGGGGAGGGTGCGCCAACCCAGCCCTCAGGGGGAGAAGGCGCGACACCACACAGGCAGCGCGACTGGCACGAGGGGGCATGCGGTGGGCGAGGCGGCACCCCGAGGCAGCGGCACTGACAGGACGTGGACTGTGGGGCTGGCCAGCCCGGGTAGGGGCACACTGATGGGCTGGGGCGGAGGGTACACTGACGGGCCCCAGCTGGCCTCCTTGCTGCGCTGCCTGCCTACCCAGCCGGCACTGTGTGGGCAAATGGGGTGGCATCTGGCCCAGCATCAGGGAGACCTCAGGCCAGGCAAGGCCATTATGGCCCAATCCTCAGTTGCCTTGCTGTGGTTCCTGAGCCCAGGCGCTGAGGGGGCAAGAGGGGACCTCAGGGAGGGTAGCAGCACCTGCTGCCAGTGCCACCCTCTTGGCTGAGCCCCACAGTGTCCGGGAAGTGGGAGTGGAGGCAGCCAGTGACACAGAGGCTTTTCCTGAATAAGGGCACAGGAGCCCGAGTCACTGTGGAGAACTTGGGGGCCAGGGAGACAATGGGCCCCTCCTCTCGCTAACGCCATGGGGCAGGATAGTGCAGGGCCTGCCCTTCTGCAGCAGGAAAATTCAAGTCGGATCCCTGTGCTGCACCGGCCCCTGGTGAGGGAGGTTGGACCACCCAGCAGTGCCCATTGGCACAGAGCACAGCCCACGGAGCCTAGGGTGGCACAACTTGGCGTGGCATCATCCCTCAGTGAAGGGGTGGGAGGGCTGCGCTCTTCCCCCACAGGAAGACACTGGGAGCGGGCAGCCCCTGGGGTCAGGACGGAGGATGCCGGGCAGTGACTGGGTTGGTGCAGCAGGAGCCGAGGCAAGCAGGCCCCTCCCGGGGGGCTGGGCCAGTCTGGGGCCACAGGAATCACAATAATTATAAAATAAAACCTTTTCCGCTTGGCGGGAAAACAAATAATAAAAATTCAACAAAATAAATTAGAGGTTTATAAAAGGCAGGCGGGCAGGTCAGAGGCCGTTGGCACTGCCGCGCTGGACCAGCGGCACCTTGCTCAGCTCCACCACGGGCGAGCGCGGCTTGTTCTTCATCTTGGGCACCCGCTGCACCAGCTGCTGGGCCTCGCGGTAGGCGTCACGCAGCTCCTTCTTCCACTGCACCAGCTCAGGGTCGCTCTGCACACACCAAGCCCAGCTGTCGGCTGGTGCTCTCCGGAGCCTGCCTGGCCTGGCCCGGCCCCTTGGCCCTCCCGCCCCCGTCCCAGACCCCACTCACATCACACTGCAACACGAACTGCTTCCCACCGCGGATCTTGAGGAGCAGGCACTTGCGCTCCTTGATCTGCGTCTCCTCAACCGACTGGATCTCCTCCATGGTCAGCAGGCTCTGCTGCAGGGCCAGGGACGGTGGTGCGGGTAAGGGCCGGCCCGCCAGCCACCGGGAAGCCCGGCTCCCGACCCCCGCACGGGCTCCTTACCGGGGCCTCGCCCTCACCCCGCCACTCGAGGCGGTTGGGGAACAGGTAGAAGTATCGTCGCTGCCACTGGGTCAGGAAGGGATTGCCCATCTTGGACATGTAGCCATGCATGATGCAGTCCTTGCCCAGGGCGTAGTCTGAGGCGAGAGACAGAGGAGGCTCAGCCGGCCCAGCCTAGGTTGCTTTTTTGTTGTTTTGAGACAGGGTCTCCACTCTGTTGCCCAGGCAGTGGCGCAATCTTGGCTCACTGCAACCTCCACCTCCCGGGTTCAAGCGATCCTCCCGCCTCAGCCTCCCGGGTAGCTGGGAGTACAGGCGCGTGCCACCGTGCCCGGGTAATTTTTTGGTATTTTTGGTAGACACAGGGTTTCACCATGTTGGCCAGGCTGGTCTCGAACTCCTGACCTCAAGTGATCTACGGTCCTCAGCCTCCCAAAGTGCTGGGATTATAGGCGTGAACCACCACGCCTGGCTCCGGCCTGGGTTTCCATCCCAAAGCGGCCACTTTCTGGCTGTGATCCAGGGTGAGTTCCTTAAACCAGAGCCAACTGCTCACTCCTAAGCAGGCGGGGGCCTGGTGCCACAGCAGCGGGCGATCCTCACCTTCCTCGTGGCCCAGCTGTTTGTTCTTGGCTTTCTTACGGGCCTCCAGCCGGTCTGTCTCAGCATTGATGGTGTCAAAGACCGTCTCTGCCACCTCCTGCTGCCACCGCTCCGAGATGGTGAGGGGGAAGTTGCGGTAGAGCTCCTGATCACTGTCCAGTAACTTTGCCA